CTGGATGAATACAGCAGGCCAAGCAGCATCAGAGGAGCAGGAAGGCTGACGTTTTGGGCCTAGACCCTGCTTCAGAAAATGATGTTTCGGGCCTAGACCCTTCTTCAGGGGTGGTCTCAACCAGTTCCTGTACAACTACAACAACACATCCATGCTCTTGTACTTGAAACCTCTCGCAATGAAAGCCAACATACCATATGCCTTCTTTACTGCCTGCTGCACCTGCATGCTTACCTTCAGCAACTGGTGCACAAGGACGCCCAGGTCCCGATGCACATTCCCTTCTCCCAATTTACAGTCATCCAGGTAGTAATCTGCCTTCTTGTTTTTGTTTCCCAAGTGAATAGCTTCACATTTATCCAAATTATACTGAATCTGCCATTGATTTGCCCCTCGCCCAACCTGTCCAGATCATGCTGAAGGATCTCTGCATCCTTGGTACAGTTCACCCTCCCACTGAGCTTCGTATCATATGCAAACTTGGAGATGTTACATTTTGTTCCCTCATCCAAATCATTAATAAACATAGCGAATAGCTGGGGTCCCATCACCGATCCCTGTGGCACCCCACTAGTTACTGCCTGCCAATTTGAAAAGGACCCATTAATTCCTACTCTTTGTTTCCTCTCTGCCAACCAGTTTTCTATCCATTTCAATACACTTTCCCCAATCCCATGCGTTTTAATCTTACACATTAATCTGTTATGTGGGACTTTTGTCAAAATCTTTCTGAAAGTCCAAATATATTACATTGACTGGCTCCCCCATGTCAACTCTACCAGTTACATCTTCATAGAATTCTAACAGATTTGTCAAGCATGATTTCCCCTTCGTAAATCCATGCTGACTCTATCTGATCCTGTCACTGCTTTCTAAATGCTCTGCTGTAAAATGCTTGACAATGGATTCGAGAATTTTCCCCACTACCGATGTTAGGGTCACCGGTCTATAATTTCCTGCTTTCTCTCTACGTCCCTTTTGAATACTGGAGTGACATTAGCCACCCTCCAATTTGCAGGGACTATTCCAGAGTCTACAGAATCCTGGAAGATGACTGCCAATGCATCCAGTATTTCTAGAGCTACTTCCTTAAGTACTTTGGGATGTAGATTATCGGGCCCTGGGGATTTATTGGCCTTCAATCCCAACAATTTCCCAGCACCATTTCACTACTAATATTGATCTCCCTCAGTTCTTCCCTCTCACTAAATCTTGTTTCCTCCAACAATTCTGGTATCTGATTTGCATCCTCTTTTGTGAAGGCAGAACCAAAGTATGTATTCAGTCCCTCAGGCATTTCTTTGTCTCCTATTATACATTCTCCTGTTTCTATCTGTAGGGGACCTACATTTGTCTTTACCAATCTAATTCTCTTCATGTACCTAAAGAAACTCAGTGTCAGTCTTTTATAGTAGGAACTGCAGATGCTGGAGAATCCGAGACAACAAGGTGCAGGGCTGGATGAACACAGCAGGCCAAGCAGCATCATAGGAGCAGAGAGGCTGACGTTTCGGGCCTAGACCCTTCATCAGAAAAGGGGGAGGGGAAGGGGGTTTTGAAATAAATAGGGAGAGAGTGGGAGGCGGATAGAAGAGGGATAGAGGAGAGGATAGGTGGAGAGGACTGTATCGGCGCCGCCTCGTGCTCCCACGAGGAGCTCGAACAGTTCATACACTTCACTAACACCTTCCACCCCAACCTTAAGTTTACCTGGACCATCTCTAACACCTCTCTCCCCTTCCTGGACCTCTCTGTCTCCATATCGGGCAACCACCTAGAAACCGATATTCATTTCAAGCCCACCGACTCCCACAGCTACCTAGAATACTCCTCCTCCCACCCACCTTCCTGCAAAAATGCTATCCCCTATTCCCAATTCCTTCGCCTCCGCCGCATCTGCTCCCAGGATGAGGCATTCCACTCCCGTACATCTCAGTTGTCCTCGTTTTTCAAGGACCGTAACTTCCCCTCCTCGGTGGTCGAGAACGCCCTCAACCGTGTCTCCCACATCTCCCGCACCTCATCCCTCACACCCCGTCCACGCAATAAAAACCAAAAAAGAATCCCCCTCGTCCTCACGTACCACCCCACCAACCTCCAGATCCAACGCATCATCCTCCGACACTTCCGCCATCTGCAATCCGACCCCACCACCAAAGACATCTTTCCCTCCCCACCCTTATCTGCTTTCCGGAGGGACAACTCTCTCCGTGACTCCCTTGTCCGCTCCACACTCCCCTCCAGCTCCACCACACCCGGCACTTTTCCCTGCAACCGCAGGAAGTGCTACACCTGCCCCCATACCTCCTCCCTCACCCCCATCCCAGGCCCCAAGAAGACTTTCCACATCAAGCAGATGTTCACCTGCACATCTGCCAATGTGGTATACTGCATCCGCTGTACCCGGTGTGGCTTCCTATACATTGGGGAAACCAAGCGGAGACTCGGGGACCGCTTTGCAGAACACCTACGCTCGGTTCGCAATAAACAACTGCACCTCCCAGTCGTGAACCATTTCAACTCCCCCTCCCATTCCTCAGACGACATGTCCATCCTGGGCCTCCTGCAGTGCCACAACGATGCCACCCGAAGGTTGCAGGAACAGCAACTCATATTCCGCTTGGGAACCCTGCAGCCCAATGGTATCAATGTGGATTTCACAAGTTTCAAAATCTCCCCTCCCCCTACCGCATCCCAAAACCAGTCCAGCTCGTCCCTGCCTCCCTAACCTGTTCTTCCTCCCACCTATCCCCTCCTCCCACCTCAAGCCGCACCTCCATCTCCTACCGACCAACCTCATCCCGCCCCCTTGACCTGTCCGTCCTCCCTGGACTGACCTATCCCCTTCCTAACTCCCTACCTACACTCACCTTTCCTGGCCCCATCCCCGCCTCTTCGACCTGTTTGTTTCCTCTCCACCTATCCTCTCCTCTATCCCTCTTCTATCCGCCTCCCACTCTCTCCCTATTTATTTCAAAACCCCCTTCCCCTCCCCCTTTTCTGATGAAGGGTCTAGGCCCGAAACATCAGCCTCTCTGCTCCTATGATGCTGCTTGGCCTGCTGTGTTCATCCAGCCCTGCACCTTGTTGTCAGTCTTTTATGTTCACTGCAAGCTTACTTTCATACTCTATTTTCCCCTTCTTAATCAATCACTTGGTCCTTCGTTGCTGAATTCTAAACTGCTCCCACTCCTCAGATTTACTATTTTTCTTGGACAATCTGTATGCTTCTTCCTTGGATCGGAGACCATCTCTTTTTCCTTTGTAAGCCTTGGATTGGCTCTCTTACCCATTTTGCTTTTGCGACAGACAGGAATAAACAGTTGTTGCAGTTCCCCCATGCGTTTCTTGAATGCTTGCCATTACCTATCTCCTGTCATCCCTTTAAGTAACTCTCCCCAATCTATCAAGGCCAACTCATGTCTCATATCCTCGTAGTTTCCTTTATTAAGTTTCAGCACCCTAGGCTCCCAATCAACAACCTCAATCTCCATCTTGATAAAAAATTCTATTATGTTATGGTCACTCATCCTCAAAGGGTCTCACACAGCTCGATTGGCAATGATTCCCTTCTCATTACATAGCACCCAGTCTAAGATGGCCTGCTCTCTATTTGGTTCCTCCACGTATTGGTCAAGAAAACCATTCTGGATACACTCCAGGAATTCCTCCTCTATGGCATTGTGGCTAATTTGATTTGCCCAATTTATGTGCAGATTAAAATCACCTATGATTACCGATATTCCCTTACCACATGCATCTCTAATTTTCTGTTTAATGCCATTCTCAACATCACCACTGCAATTTGGGAGTCTAGGTATGACCCCTATTAATGTTTTTTGTCCCTTGGTATTTCTCAACTCTTACCCGTACAGACTTCTCACTGTCAGAGCTAATATCCTTTCTCACTATTGTGTTAATTTCTCTTTAACCAGCAATGCCACTCCACCTTTTACTTTTTGCCTGTCCTTCCTAAATACTGAAAACCCTGGGACATTCAGTTCCCATCTCTGGTCACTCTGCGGCCATGTCTCCATAATCCCAATTATATCGTATCCGTTTGCATCTATCTGCGTGATTAATTCATCTACTTTATTGCGGATGCTCCGCGCATTAAGGCACAAAGCCTTTAAGCCTGCCCTTTTACCTGTGTTTGTCTCTTCCCTATTTTTCTCAAAAGCCCTGTTTGAATCTTGCCCTTGGTTTCTCAGCCTTTCACCTTTCTTATTCCCTTTTCCAGCTTTTGTTTTTGTCCTTGCTGCCTTCCTCTCTGACTCTTTACATAGGTTCCTATCCCCCTTCCCCAACCACTCTAGCAAACACTCCCCCAGTAACAAGGTGTGGAGCTGGATAAACATAGCAGGCCCGGCAGCATCAGAGGAGCAGGAAAGCTGATGTTTCGAGTCTGAACCCTTCTTCAGAAAAGGTCCAGACCCAAAACATCAGCTTTCCTGCTCCTCTGATGCTGCCTGGCCTGCTGTGTTCACCCAGCTCTACACCTTGTTATCTCAGACTCCAGCATCGGCAGTTCTTACTATCTCCCCCATGTAAGGCGGTCAGTGTAACGTGATTTTGGAGCCAAAGAACCTGGATCATGTCAACCAGAAGTGGCAAAGTTTAAATCTCTACCCAATAGGGTAGATAACACAGTTGTGCATATTCCTACTATAAAAAAAACAGAAAATGTTGGAAATATTCAGCAGTTAATGCTGCAACAATGGACAGGAAAAACAAAGTTAACATTTTAGACCTGTGACCTTACATCAGAACCTTTCATTTGTTGTCTCCAGAGATGCTTCCTGACATGCTGATGTTTCCAGCATTTTCTATTTCAGATATCCGGCATCTTGAGTATTTTGCTTTTGTGTTCATTTATTCCTATGTAGCATGGAAAATCTGACTATTTATTTCATCCATATCAATAAAGTTATCACGCTGACCATATAAAATGTTTGTTGGCTGCTCACCCACTTCACATACACATTTTCTCCATTCAATACCTGCAATGGTTCCACTAACTCCAACGTATGCTTCAGGTAAATTAAGTTAGTGATCTTGGATTCTGCTGCCTGTACCTGTTTAGTAAACACAAGATATTTTGTAATTGCCATCAACAATTAGAACTAACAACCCCTTACTTAAAGGAATGTGCAATTCTGATTCAAATTTGCTTGAAAAATATATCTATCTTAAAACCAAAAAGAACGTACACTTTAAGACTGCAGAGGGCAGCATGTCATGGATTAGACAGCCGATATAATAAACCTTTTAAGGCCAGTTAGTTCAATGAATTAACATGTGGGTCAGAAAAAGACATCATGGGGGTACTCTGTGATGCATGGTTTTGCAGATAATCACAACTCCTACTTTCTGACAGATAAGTAAAAAAGGTCTGCATGAGCTGTAATCTTTATTAGAACTACGCATAGTTAAAAACATTCTCAAACAGTACGGAGAAAGTAACATATGAAACATACAGTGTCTTGCTTTGGAATCTGCACTAGGATAGACAGGAGCTGATCAGTATCCAAGAACCGTGAAATTACTGCAAAGATAAAGCACAAGCATACAGTTTATGTAAACATATATTTAACAAAGCATTTACGGAACATTGGAGTCCCACAAGGGTCTCTGCTGGGCTTCAATAATTTACAATTAACATCAATGGCTTAGATGAGTGGTGTAAAGTCATGGTAGGTCAATTTGCAGATGATAGTGATAGGCGTGAAACTACGCTGTGAAGAAGACATAAGAAATTTGCAGATGGATATAGATAGGTTGAGTGAGTGGGAAAAAAATTAGCAGATGGAATGTCACATGGGAAAATGTGAAGTTGTTTAATTTGATAGGAGGAGTGAAAAAGCACAGTATTACTTAAACGGAAAACAAATGAAGAATTTCAAGGTGTAGAAAGATCTAGCTGTATTAGTGCATGAGTCACAAAAAAGTTAGTATGCAGGTACAGCACATAATCGAGAAGGCTACAGGAAGCTTTCAGGACTCAATAATGAGTTCAATAATTTTAGGGCCTGAATACCTCCTTCCATGTCCTTTACCCAGCCCCACACCCCAGACCCTGCCAAGATATGGGTTGCTTTCAGCACAGCTCATTTTCAGCACAGTTTATTTTCACCCACACGTTGATACCATTATCAACTCGGTCGGATGCTCTTCGGAGGATCAGTGTGGACTCGATAGACTGAATGGCCTGCTTCCACACTGTAGGGATTCTATGATTCTAGGTCTATCTCAACAATGGGAACAACTCGATGCATGTTTTAACTAAGGTCCAGGCATCAAAGTAAAATTTTCATTAGGATGAACAGTCCTTCAGCCAGAGATACCAATTCATTGACATGCTGTTTAGTGCAGGCACAAAACAGGGAACCTCGTCATGTTGTCTACAGTTCTCAAGCAATTTAAGGGAGATAACCTTCTCTCAGGGTGGTCCAGCACATTAGGTCAAAGACAGCCTAGCAGACTAGGGGCTTGGACACAGTCAACCACTCTGGATGATCTGAATCAACATTGTCTCATCCTAAGGAAGAAGAAGACTCATGTCAGGCAGCGCACCACCTGTCTTTCTTCCCTATGGTGGGCTGTTTTACTCCTGCAATAAGAGATAGAGGAGGTACTAAGGGGGATGAAAGTAAGTGGTATAGCTATTACTGTTGTGCAAGTAGGGTGGGCTCCTGAGTAAGCGAGTAGGCAGCATGAGTGGCATACAGGGTTAGTGATGTCAGAAGGTGAAGTAGTGAGAGCAAATGAGCTAAGATGTTGCAGACAATAGCAAGAGTGGTAGAGCATGAGTCTCGGTGGAGGATGGGTACAGTTGTAAAGATGGAGTGAACGTGAGGTATTGGAGAGAAGATGGTGGCCCTTACACTGGTGGAGTGGAGTGAACTTTTTTTACATTGCTGTGTATTCCTCCAGATGGCTAAGGCTGCACTGGCTGAGATGGCTCAGGCCAGAGTGCTTTGTTTGGGTTGTAGTCTCCACTGCTGGTCCCACTTCTACACTTTTCCATCCAGTAGGACCTCGGCTCCCTGACTGCAAAGTGGGGCTCCAATTTTCTCTTCCCCGTCATTTCTAGGACAAATGTCTAGAATCATGCAGAGCAGATCCAGACTGACAAAGCTTGACCAGGTTCACAAACACTAGTGCCAAGAATTCTGATCTATTCTGGGATATCCTGGCAATGGTGAGTTGTTCTGGGTATGGCAAGTAGTGGAATGGAGTTAGAATCAGACAAGAGGTTGCTATAGGAGGTGGGTAGGTAGTTAATGTGACAGGTTTGGCAAGATGTGGCAAGAAAACGTGCTAGGTCTCATGGATAGAAATCCTCGATGAAAACTCAACGAAATTGATACTTAGCTAATTTTCTGGGGTCAGATTCATCCTACATTTTGTGGACAGGATACACTTGAGCAATTTTCCACATTGCCAGGTTGATGCCGATGTTGTAGCTGTACTGGAATAGCCTGGCCAAAGACACTGCTAATTCTGGGTTACAAGTCTTCATTGCTGGAACATTGTTGGCATCCATAGCCTTTGCAGAATCCAATGCCTTCACCTATTTCTTGTTAACTCTGAGGAAGGGTCATTGAACCCGAAAGTTAATTCTGATTTCTCTTCACAGATGCTGCCAAACCTGCAGAGCTTTTCCAGCAATCTCTAACATAACAAGGTGTAGTACTGGATGAACACAGCAGGCCAAGCAGCATCATAGGAGCAGGAAGGCTGACGTTTCGGGCCTAGACCCTTCATGATGAATCTGTATCTGTGAAGATCTGTATCTGGAGCAGGTGGAGACGAATCAGCACTATAATTCAGCACTTTGGATACTAGGTGGCTGTGAATTTTTTTTTGCATCGATATGCTTGGCTTTTTCATCATTGAGGATGGAATATTTGTGAAACCTCCTCCTCCAATGAGTTCATAGAATCACCGGGTGCAGAAAGAGGCCATTTGGCCCATCATATCTGCACCAATCCTCTGAAGAATATCCCATCCAGACCATATATCCCTGCATGAACACAGCAGGCCAAGCAGCATCATAGGAGCAGAAAGGCTGACGTTTCGGGCCTGCATGTGGTTTTTTCATCTAAAATGCACATCCATGGACACTGCATGATTCCAGACATTTGTTCTAGAAATAGTGGAGAAGAGAAAATTGGAGCCCCATTTTTCACTCAGGGAGTTGAGATATTGCCATTCCACCTAACCTCACCTCTTTGGTTGAGGGAGGAAACCAGGGCACCCAGAGGAAACCCTTGCAGATATGGGGAGAACATGCAAACTCCTCACTGACAGTTGCCCAAGGCTGGAATCAAATCCAGGTCCCTGGCGTCGTGAGGCAGCAATGCTAAGCGTTGTTCCACTGTTTAATTGCTCACCATAATTCACAACTGGATGAGGCAGAACTGCAGTGTTTAAACCTGATATACTGGTTGTGGAATCATTTTACTCTGTCTATCCAGTTTATCTGCATTTATCATTTCCCCTTAAATGCATTTTTTTGCTGTTTATCTCAACCACACCCTGTATTAGCGAATTCCACTTCCCCTGTGAAAAAGAAGTTTCTCTTGAATTTCTTACTAGGTTTATTAGTGACAACCTTAAATTTCGGGCACCAAGTTCTATTCCTTTCGTAAGTGGAAACAGTATTTTTCTATGTCAACCCTATTAACCCCTTTCATAATCTTATTGCAGTGTGCATAATATTCCCAGAAAACAACAAGCAGACTGACTGGACTGAAGGCTGAAGAAGAGATCCTCATTTTCCAGGAGTTCTTGTACACAGTCCAATCTTGTGTTAATAGTTTCCACGTCAACCAGGGGCTCCAAGATGTTGGAGCGAAGTCTGCGACTCCCTCCAGCTGTCTTTGTGTAGTTCAGGACCCCGTACAGTGTGTGATTATTTCTGCAAAAAAAAAGACAAAAACAGACAAGTAAATTTACTTTAGAAACGTATAAGCAATGACTCAATAAAGCAAGTGTCAGGCGCAGGAGAAGGCCATTCAGTCCCTCTATCCTGAGACTTTCTCCCTTTTTTTATACACAGAGCAGTACAGGGCAATTTTTGTGGGACAAAAACAAAGTTACTGGAAAAGCTCAGCAGGTCTGGCAGTATCTGTGAAGGAGAAAACAGAGTTAACTTTTTGGGTCTGGTGACCCTTCCTCAGAATTTTTGTGGGGTTTGGCAGCCATACTGTGGGAAAATGAAGGCAGTGGAGCTAAAGTTTCAAGTCAATGACTTACTTCTCCGTCAGAACCAGGAGGTGATAGATAAGAATGCAAGTTGTGAGGAGGATACAGTGATGAAAGCTGTGTGATTTATATATTTTTCAGAGTTTGGATTTTAATCAAGTGATATACAAATTTTGGTTTACTTGTGTAAAGGGGTCTGATGGTCAGTTTTACAGAGCCGTGATTTTAAACCAGTATGCGTCAAAGAGCTGATGGCTGGAGGCCTCCTGATGGAATAATGGAAACTTTCTTATATTGTGGGGTTTTAAGACAGGAGAAGTCTGTCATTAGCTTGGTTGAAGCTAGAATAAGTATGTTTTCTTTTAATTTAATCAGAAGTAGTTCAAAGGAGGCCTGACTGAAATCAGATGTAAGAAGGCAGTTGCTTCACTAGGATGCTCCCTGGTAGGGGGGTATTGTCTTATGAGCAAAGATTAAACAGATTGGAACTCTACTCACTTAAATTTAGAATGAGAAGTGATCTCATTGAAACATAAAGGAGTCTCAAGGGATTTGCAGTGTAAATGCTGAGAGGAAGATTCCCCTCATGGGACAGTTTAGCACCATAGTCTCAGAATAAAGGAGTGTCAATTTAAGATTGAGATGTGGAGGAATTTCTTATCTCAGTGAGTTGTCAGTCTTTGAAGCTCGTTGCCACAGAAAGCTGTGGAGGAAGAGTCGTTGTGTATGTTTAAACTGAGATGTAGTGAGGTCAGGAACTGAGTGGCCCTGGTGAAACTCGAGCTGGGCATTCACTGACAGGTCATTGTTAAGCATTTGATTGCTAGCACTGTTGATAATACCTTTCATCACTTTACTAATGATCGAGAGTAGATTGATGGGACCAGGTTCGATTTGTCATGCTTTTTGCGTACCAGACATACCTGGGCAATTTCCCACATTGTCAGGTAGATGCCAGTATTGTAGCTGTACTGGAATAGCTTGGCTAGGGGAGCAGCTAAATTTTGGAGCACAAGTCTTCAGTAGTCTTGCCAGGATGTTGTCAGGGCCCAAAACCTTTGCATTATCCAGTGCCTCCAATCATTTCTTCATATCACCTGGAATGAATTGAATTGGCTGAAGACTGGCAACTGTGATGCTGGAGATCACTGGACGAGGCCAAGACAGATCATCCACTCCGCACTTCTAGCTGAAGATTGCTGTGATTGCTTCAGCCTTATCTTTTGCACTGTTGTGTTGGGTTCTTCCATCACTGAGGATGGGGATATTTGAGGAGCCTACTCCTCCAGTGAGTTAATTGTCCATCACAATTCACTACTGGACATGGCAGGACTGCAGAGTTAGATCTGGTCCATTAGTTGTGAGGTCTCTTAGCTCTATCACTTCCTGTTTATACTGTTTGGCATGCATGTAGTCCTGTTTGGTACCTTCACCAGGTTGACACCTGGTACTGCTCCTGGCATGTTCTCCTGCACTCCTCATTGAACCAGGGTTGATCCCTTAGCTTGATGGTAATGGCTGAGTGGGGAAATGCTGGTCCATGAGGTTGTAAACTGTGCTAGAGTACACTTCTGCTGTTATTGATTGCTCACAGCCCATCATAGATCAGTCTTGAGTTGCCAGATCTGTTGGAAGTCTGACCCATTTAGCACAGTGATAGTGCCACACAACACAATGTAGGGTACTCTCAATGGGAAGGTGGGGCATCGTCTCCACAAGGACTGTTTAGACATCACTTACTAAAACTCTAATGGATCAATATATCTGCAGCTGGTAGATTGGTAAAGATGAGATCAGGTATGTTTTTCCCTCCCATTGCTTCCCTAACCACTTGCTACAGACCCACTCTTGTATCTATGTCCTTTAGGAGCCAACCAGCTCAATCAGTAGTCCTGTGCTGAGCCACTCTTGGTGGTGGACATTGAAATCCCCCACCCAGAGTACATTTTGTGCCTTTGTCACCCTCAGTGCTTCCTACAAGTGTCATTCATCATGGAGGGGTACTGATTCATCAGCCGAAGGAGGATGGTATGCGGTAATCAGCAGGAGGATTCCTTCCTGTATTTAACATGATGTCTTAAACTTCATGAGGTTCAGAGTCAATGTTGAGGATTCCCAGGACTGTATATCACTGTGCCACCACCTCTGCTGAGTCTGCTCTGCAGTGGGACAGGACGTATCAATAAATAGTGGTGTCCGGGAAATTGTCTCTATGATTCCATGAGTACGACTATGTCAGGCTGTTGCTCGACTAGTCTACGAGATATCTCCCACTTTTGGCACTAGCCCCCAGATATTAGAAAGAAGGACTTTGCAGGGTCGACAGGACCACTTTTATCAATGTTGTTTCCAATGACTAGGTTGATGACAAATGCCTCATCTGGCTTCATTTCATTGTTGAGACTTTGTAGCAATTGGTACACTAAGTAGCTTGCTAGGCCATTTCAGAAGGCAGTCAAGGGTGAACCACATTGTCATGGATCTGGAGTCACATGTAGATGGCAGGTGAGGACAGCAGATTTGCTTCCCTTAAGGACATTTGGGAACCTAATGGCCTTTTTTGTTGTCAATCAACAATGGCTTTGTGACCATCAATAAATTCTTAATTCCAAACATTTTTAATTCAACTTCCACGATCTGTCGTGGCAGGATTCAAACCCTAGTCCCCAGAACAGTATCTGAGTTTTTGGATTACAGAGACAGTCTAGCAATAATACCACTAGGCCATTGCCTTCCCCCAGTGATGGTGTTAGGGAGTAGGTGGGATTTTATTATATTTTGCATATGAAATGCAAAATTTTGGCACGCAGGTACAGCCAATAATTAGAAAGGGAAATGAAATGTTAGCCTTTATTCTAAAATGAAAGGAAAATAAAATTAGGCAAGTCTAGCCACATTTGTCCAGAGCATTGGTGATACCACACGTGGCATATTGTGTTATATTTTGGTCCCATAATTTATGGAGAGATATTTTTGTATTGAATATGGTGCAGAGAAAGTTTGCGAGGCTGATTCCTGGGATGAAGGAGTTGTATATAGGGAAAGGTTGAGCAAGTTGGACCTATGCTCGTTGGAGTTTACAAAGACGAGAGGGGATCTGAAAAAAAGCCTTTAAGATTTGGGTGGGCGGGGGAAACTTCATACAGTATGAGAGGATCTTTTCCTTCAAAATGGAATTTAAAACTGGGAGGCACCATTTTAAAATAAGGCATCTCTCATTTAACACAGAAATAAAGAAGAATTTACTCTCTCAGAAGGTTGTTAGTCTTTGGAATTCTCTTATCCAGACAACAGTGGAGACAGGGTCATTGAAGGTAGGCAGAAGAATGGAATTAAAGCTAAAATCAGACTAGCCATAATATTATTGATTTGCAGAGCAGGCTCAATGAATTGAATGGGCTACTTAAGCTTCTATTTCTTATAGTTTTATGAGACACAGATGAAGACCTTACAAAAAGCAACAGATAGAGAAGAGCCGTAAACCAAAAAGGAAAAGTGAACAATGCGTTGGAGGACAGTTAATGATTAGACAACAGAGGTGATGGTGATGTAAAACAAATTGAGCAATGTTGAGATAAACTGAAGGATAATGTATGCCAGACCCAGATAGTGTGCCAGTAGTTACCCAGGAATGCAAGAGGGAAAGGGAAGCATAAAAATGTGCAAAAACTTAGAAGGTTCTCATTACCCAGATATGTAGGAACAGCTTGAGGTCATTCAGTTTGTTGACTATTCACCACTCAAACCAATCATGGGCTAGTCTGCAATATAAGTCCATTTATCCACTGTGGTTCCATAACACTAATGCCCTTGTCTAACAAAAGCATCAACCTGAGTTTTGAAATGTTCAATTGACTTCCATCTGCAACAGCTGTTTGTTTTGAGGATGGAGAGAGAGTTCCAAATTTCCATGAGGTCCTTTGAGTGAAGAACTATTTCCTGACATCACCTCTGAATAGGCCAGCTCTAATTTTAAGATTCGGGCCCCTTGTCCTCAAGTCCCAATCAGAGAATTTAGTTTCTCTCTATCTATCTCTCTATATTCCAATGAAAAGGAAGGACTGTAAGAAAAGGGGTAATCTGCCATGGGTGTCTAAAGAAATAAGGGAGGCTATCAAATTGAAAGAGAAGGCATACAAAGTGGCCAAAAACAGCATGAAACTAGAAGATTGGGAAAACTTTAAAGGTCAACAGAAAGCCACAAAAAGAGCTATAAAGAAAAGTAAGATAGAACATGAGAAAAAACTAGCACAGAATATAAAGACAGATAGCAAAAGTTTCTATAAATATATAAAACGAAAGAGTGGCTAAAGTAAATGTTGGCCCTTTAGAGCATGAGAGGGGGAATTTAGTTATGGGATGTGATGAAATGGTCGAGGCATTGAACAGGTATTTTGTATCGGTCTTCACAGTGGAGGACACTAATAACATGCCAGTAATTGACAAAGAGACGAAGGTAGGTGAGGACCTGGAAACAATCATTATTACGGAAGAGGTAGTGTTGGGCAAGCTAATGGAGCTAAGGATTGATAAGTCTCCTGGCCCTGATGGAATGCATCCCAGGGTGCTAAAAGAGATGGCGGGAGAAATAGCAGGTGCACTGGAGGTAATTTTCCAAAATTCGCTGGACTCTGGGGCAGTCCCAGCAGATTGGAAAACAGCAAATGTGATGCCACTGTTTAAAAAGGGAAGTAGACAAAAGATGGGGAATTACAGACCGGTTAGCTTAACCTCTGTAGTGGAGAAGATGCTTGAGTCTATTATCAAGGAAGAAATAGCAAGGCATCTTGATAGAGATGGTCCCGTTGGGCAGACGCAGCATGGGTTCATGAAGGGCAGGTCATGCTTGACAAACCTTTTGGAATTCTATGAAGACATTATGAGCGAGGTGGACAATGGCGACCCAGTGGATGTGGTGTACCTAGATTTCCAAAAGGCCTTCGACAAGGTGCCACACAAGAGGCTACTGCATAAGATAAGCATGCATGGCATTAAGGGTAAAGTATTAGCATGAATAGAGGATTGGTTGACTAACAGGAAGCAAAGAGTGGGGATAAATTCTAGCTGGCAGTCAGTGACTAGTGGTGTGCCTCAGGGATTGGTGTTGGGACCGCAATTATTTACAACTTATATAGATGATTTGGAGTTGGGGCCCACGTGTAGGGTGTCAAAGTTTGCAGATGACACTAAGATGAGTGGCAGAGCAAAGTGTGCAGAGGACTGTGAAACTTTGCAGAGGAACACAGATACATTGTGTGAGTGGGCAAAGGTCTGGCAGATGGAATACAATGTAAATAAATGTGAAGTCATACATTTTGGTAGGAGTAATAGTAAAGAGGATTATTACTTGAATGGTAAAAAGTTGCAGCATGCTGCTATGCAGAGGGACCTGGATGTCCTTGTGCATGAATCACAGAAGGTAGGTCTGTAGGTACAACAAGTAATTAGGAAGGCAAATGGAATTTTGTCCTTCATTGCTAAAGGGATTGAAATTAAAAGCAGAGAGGTTATGTTGCAGCTGTACAAGGTGCTGGTGAGGCCACACCTGGAGTACTGTGTGCAGTTTTGGTCTCCTTACTTGAGAAAGGATATATTGGCACTGGAGGGGGTGCAAAGGAGGTTCACTAGGTTGATTCCGGAGTTGAGGGGGTTGGCTTATGAGGAGAGACTGAGTAGATTGGGATTATATTCATTGGAATTCAGAAGATTGAGGGGGGATCTTATAGAAACATATAAAATTATGAAGGGAATAAATAAGATAGAAGTAGAGAGGATGTTTCCACTGGCAGGTGAAGCTAGGACAAGAGGGCATCGCCTCAAGATTAGAGGGAGCAGATTTAGGACTGAATTGAGAAGGAATTTCTTCACCCAGAGGATTGTTAATCTATGGAATTCCTTGCCCAGTGAAGTAGTTGACGCTACTTCAGTAAACGCTTTTAAAAAAAGGTAGATTTTTTTTGAACAATAAAGGAATTAAGGGATACGGTGAGAACGCAGGTAAGTGGATCTGAGTCCACGAAAAGCCATGATCTTATTGAATGGCGGAGCAGGCTCGAAGGGCCAGACAGCCTACTCCTGCTCCTAGTTCTTATCCCTTAATTATGTTTTACAAGCTGATCAGAGGATTAGATAGGGTGGACAGTGGGAGCCTTTTTCCTCGGATGGTGGTGGCTAGCACGAGGGGACATAGCTTTAAATTGAGGGGTGATAGATATAGGACAGATGTCAGAGGTAGGTTCTTTACTCAGAGAGTAGTAAGGGTGTGGAATGCCCTGCCTGCAAAAGTAGTAGACTCGCCAACTTTAAGGGCATTTAAATGGTCATTGGATAAACATATGGATAATAATGGAATAGTTTAGGTTAGATGGGCTTCAGATTGGTTTCACAGGTCGGCGCAACATCGAGGGCCGAAGGGCCTATACTGCGTTGTAATGTTCTATGTTCTAATTCAGCTGTATCATTCTTAATCTTCCATGTTCAAGGGGGCAAAGAACTGGTCTGTACAACCTATCCTTAAAATTAATTCCATCAGCCCAAATATCATTCTGGTGAATCTATGCTGCATCCTCTCCAAGACCAATAAGTCTTTTTTGAGATGCATACTCAGAATTGAATACAGTTACTCTGGAAAAGGTCTAAATGAAGTTGTTTAGAACTGTAGCATAACCTTCACCCTTCCAACAGGATTAAGGAAAATCCCAAGGATTTTTATACATATATAAAACAGCAAGAGGGTAGCCAGAAAGAGGGCTGGCCCTCTCAAAGACAGGGAAGGGAATTTATGTGTGGAGCCAGAGGAAATGGACTCGGTATTAAATGGGTACTTTGCGTCAGTATTCACCATAGAGAAGGACTTGGTGGATGATGAGTCTGGGGAAGGGTGTGTAGATAGTTTGGGTCATGTTGACATCAAAAGGGAGGAGGTATTGGGGGTCTTAAAAAACATTAAGGTAGACAAGTCCACAGGGCCTAATGGGATATACCCCAGAATACTGAGAGAAGCAAGGGAGGAAATTGCTGGGGCCTTGAGAGAAATTTTAGTATCCTCACTGGCTATAAGGGAGGTCCTAAAGGATGGGAGATTAGCCAATGTTGTTCCTTTGTTTAAGAAGGGTGGCAGGGATAATCCAGCTAATTACAGGCCGGTGAGCCTTACGTCAGTGGTAGGGAAGTTACTGGGGAGGATTCTTCGAGACAGGATTTACTCCCACTTGGAAATCAGTGGGCTGATTAGCAAGAGGCAACAAGGTTTTGTGAAGGGGAGGTCGTGTCTCACTAACTTGATTGAGTTTTTTGAGGAAGTGATGAAAACGATCAATGAGGGCACGGCAGTGGATATTGTTAACATGGACTTCAGTAAGGCCTTTGACAAGGTCCCTCATGGCAGAAGATAAAGTCACACAGGGTCAGAGGTGAGCTTGCAAGATAGATTAAAAAAAACTGGCTCGGTCATAGAAGACAGAGGGTAGCAGTGGAAGGGTGCGTTTATGAATGGAGGGCTGTGATTAGCTCAGGGATCAGGGTTGGGACCTTTGCTATTTGTAATATATATAAATGATTCAGCCCAAAATGTAACTGGTTTGATTAGTAAGTTTGTTGATGACCCAAAGGTTGGTGGAATTGCGGATAGCGATGCGGACCGTAAGAGGATACAGCTGGATATAGATTGGTTGGTGACTTGGGCAGAGAGATGGCAGATAGAGTTTAATCTGGAAAAATGTGAGGTAATGCATTTTGGAAGGTCTAATCCAGATGGAAAATATACAGTAAATGGCAGAATCCTTAAGAGTACTGATAGGCAGAGGGATCTGGGTGTTCAGGTACACAGGTCACTGAAACTGGCAACGCAGGTGGAAAAGGTACTTAGCAAGGCATATGGCATGCTTGCCTTCATCGGATGGGGCACTGAGTTTAAGAATTAGCAGGTAATGTTGCAGCTTTATAGAACCTTAGTTAGGCTGCATTTGGAATATTGTGTTCAATTCTGGTCATCACACTACCAGATTGTGGTGGCTTTGAAGAGGGTACAGAAAAGAGTTACCAGGATGTTGCCTAGCATGGAGGGCATTAGCTATGAGGAGAAGCTGGAGAAACTTGGGTTGTTCTCACTGGAACAATAGAGGTTGAGAGGCGACCTGATAGAGGTCTCCAAGATTATGAAGGGCATGGACAGAGTGGATAGTCAGAACCTTGTTCCTATGGTCAAAGAGTCAGTTACTTGGGGCATAGGTTTAAGATGCAAGAGGGAAGGTTTAAGGGTGATGTACAAGGCAAGTTTTTACACAGAGGGTGGTGGGTGCCTGGAACTCGCTGCCGGGGAAGGTAGTGGAAGCAGATACGATCGTAACTTTTAAAGGGCATCTTGAGAAATACATGAATTGGATGGGAATAGAAGGATACGGTCCCCGGAAGGGTACGGGGTTTTAGTTGTGACATGCATCATGTCAGTTCAGGCTTGGAGGGCCAAAGGGCCTGTTCCTGTGCTGTAATTTTCCTTGTTCTTTGTATTCCAGTTCACTTAAGACAGAGGGCAGGGCTTCATTAAGCTTTCTGTAGTTGGACGCCGAAATCTGCTTCATATTTCCTAGTTTGATGGTACTTAGAAAATACTTTAATCTACCTTTCTTAGCTTCAAAGTAGATGACCTCACACTTTTATAAATTATAAGAACATGGTTCCACAGCCAGTAACAACCAGGAGATACATATTTTAGATAATTAACATGGGAACTGGGGAGAGGATTGAACAGAACTTTATTTGTTTAGATCTTAGAATCCCTACAGTGTGGAAACAGGCCCTTCAGCCCAACAAGTCCACACCGACCCTCACAGCATCCCACTCAGACCCATCCCGCTATAACCCACCTAAACTACACATCCCTGAACACTATGGGCAATCCACCTAACTTGCACATGTTTGGACTGTGGGAGGAAACCGGAGCAAACCTACGCAGACATGGGGAGAACATGCAAACTCCACACAGACAGTCACCCGAGGGTGGAATCAAACCCAGGCCCCTGGTGCTGTGACGCAGCAGTGCTAACCACTGAGCCGCCATGCTGCCCTAAATTTATACAGCAAATTGTTCCGACATGGAATCAAAGCACATCCATCAGTAACTATTAAAAGGAATTTGTTACATACTTGAAGTGGGGCGAAAATGCAAGATCATGGGGAAAAGGCAGGGAATGGGACTAATTGAATAGCTTCTTCAATGGAGCTGGCATTGATAATGATAGGCTGAAAGGTCTCATTGTGTTCCATCATTCTGATTTTTGACTGGCAAAAATGCAACATAATTCATTTTTTTTTCTAACTTTATAATGGTTAAAAATGGTTAGCTATGGAAGATTCTTCTCTCAGATAATCTGCTTGTATCTATACCTTGGATCTCTGTTGTTAATGATCAGTTCAAGCTGCTGAGCTGAGGCCGAATCAATCATCGCTGTCTGTTCACTCCCTTTGAAGATAACTTTGAGAGATTTTGGAGCATAAACTGTATTCTGGATAAATTCAACATACTTCAGCAAGGCTGCGGCTGCAGCCAAACAGTAATATCTACAAATGCAAAAATAAAATAAATTACCAACTGTGTCTTCCCTCAGTATTTCCCTTTTGGCCCTTTCACCGTAGCCACCAGGTCATTCACACTGGGCCAGATTTTTGCAGCAGTGGTAATCACACTCAGGTCACTCGGTTCCTTCTTTTTGATGTTAAGAAAGAGCTCTGCATTTCTGATTGGAGATTCTGAACATGTCTCCTCAGAAATGCGGAGTCGTCCTTTAAATCTGTCAGGGTCCTCATAGGCATAGTGCACTCAGGGAGAAGACAAACCACGCCCCCCGATTTCACAGCAGCCAATTACTGTATCCTGTGATTTTAATGACCAGCATCACAGCCAGCCATTTTGACAGCTCCTGCTCATGTGAAAGGGTAGCATTGTAAGTATCAGGTTAAGGAGCCAGGTGGGTAGAGTAGAGGTGGATTGGGAGTAGTGTGCCAGGCTGGCAAGTAGATAGGATGCCACTTGGGTAAAGTGCCAAATAAGCGAGAGAGTGTTTAGGATAAATTGGGATGCATGGGAGAATTCAGGTCTGGAGTGGGGGAGTAGTGGGAATATTATTGGGTCCCAGGATAGAGTGGAGGTGTCAGGTGCAGTGGGGCAGTGTCAGTCCCAGAGGATATGGTGTCAGATCTGGATCTGGGGAAAGTATAATTGAGAGGTGGTAGTGTGCAGGTTAGAATCATTGAGTAATACAGCATGGAAACAAGCCCTTCAGCCCAAACTGATCCATGCCGACCATGGTGCCTGATCAGCTAATTCCAGTTGACTGCATTTGATCCATATTCCTTAAAACCTTTCCTATCCATGTACCTATCCAAACGATTTTTAAAAATGTTGTAATTGTACCTGCCTCAACCACTTTCTCTGGCGGCCCATTCCATATAGCACCACTCTCTGGATGAAGAAGTTGCCCCTCAGGTCCTTCTTAAATGTTTCCTCTCTTACCGTAAACCAATGCCCTCTAGTTTTCAATTCGCCATCCCTGGGAAAAAGACTATAAGCATTCATCCTATCTATACCCCTTGTGATTTTATACATCTCTAAGGTCACCCCTCAATCTCCTATGTTCCAAGGAACAAAGTTCTATCCTGGCCAACCTCTCCCTATAATTCAGTCCTACCAGCCCTGGCAACATCCTCGTAAAACATCTTTGCACACTTTCCAGTTTAACTACGACTTTCCTATAACAGGGTGATCAAAACTGTACAAAATACTCCAAGTACGGCCTCACCAAGACTTATACAACTGCAACATAACTTCCCAACTACTATACTCAGTGCCTCAACCAATGAAGGCCAGCATGCTAAATGCCTTCTCCACTACTCTGTCTACCTGTGACGACCGTTTTAAATTAATTATGTACATGTACTCCAAGGTCCCTCTGTTCCACAACACTCCTCAAGACCGTACCATTTACTGTATAAGTCCTACCTTGGTTTGACTTTCCAAAGTGCAATACCTCACATTTATCAGTATTGAATTGCATTTGTCAATCCTCACCCCACTTCCTCAACTGATCAAGATCCCTCTGTAATTTTTGATAACCTTCCACGCTATCAACAATACCTTCTAATTTTGTATCATCTGCAAACTTACTAATCATGCCTTGTACATTCACATCCAGATTATTTATGTAAATAACAAAGAACAATGGTCCCAGCACTGACGTCTGTGGCACAGCGTTAGTCAGAGACCTCCAGTCCAAAAAAGAACCTGCAACTATCACTCTCTGCTACCTATCATCGAGTCAAATTTGAATCCAATTAGCTAGCCCTCCCTGGATCCCATGAAACTTAACGTTCATGACTAGCCTACAGTGTGGGACCTTGTCAAAGGACTTAATAAAGTCTACACAGACAACAACCACTGCCCTACCCTCATCTATTCTCTTGGTTACCTCTTCGAAAAACTCTAAAAGATTTGTCAGACATGATTTCCCACGCACAACTCCACGCTGACTATCCCTGCTCAGACCTTGACTATCCAAATGTTGGTTGATCCTGTCCCTCAGTATCCTCTCCAATAACTTGCCTACCACTGATGTCAGGCTCACTGGCCTGTAATTCCCTGGTTTGTCTTTGCTACCTTTCTTAAACAATGGAACAACATTAGCCACCCTCCAGTCTTCCGTAACTTCACCAGTGGCTAAAGATGAAGCAAAAATATCTGCAAGAGCCTCTGTAATTTCCTTCCTAACCTCCCACAATATCCGAGGATGGATTTGATCAGGGACAGGGAATTTATCCACCTTAATGTGCTTTAAGGCTGCAAACATCTCTTCTCTGGTAATGTGTATATGGCCCAAAACATTCCCACTTGATTCCCTTACTTCTTTAGCATCCATGACTCTCTCCTCAGTAAACACTGAGGAGAACTCTTCACTAAAAATCTCCCCGATCTCCATGGCTCCATACATAGGCAGCCATGCTGATTTTATTCTCCCCCTAGCCACCCTCTTACTCTTAATATAGTTTTAGAACCTCTTGAGATTATCGTTAACCTTATCTGCCAGATCCATCTTATACCCTCTTTTTGATCCTCTGATTTCCGTCTTAAGTGTGCTCCTACACTTTTTATAGTCATCTAGGGATTCACTTGAGCCCGATAGCTTAACCCAATGTATGCCTTTTTCTTCTTCCTGATTAGAGCCTCAATGTCCCTCGTCAACCAGAGATCCCTAAACCTGCCGGCTTTTTCCTTCACCCAAACAGGGACATACTGTCCTTGGGTTCTTGATATCACACAAAATCCCATTTGCCAGTCATTCCTTTTCCTCCAAACAGATTCATCCAATCGACCTCTGCGAGATCCTACCTAATGCCCCCAAAAGTAGCCCTGCTCCAGTTCAGCACCTTAACCTATGGACCTTTCCTATCTTTTTCTATAACTATGACCATAACTAAGACAGTTATGGTCAGTGGAGCCAGATTGCTCTCGACTGACAGTTCAACCACTTGCCCAACCTCATTTCCTGAGAGGACATCCAGTGTTGCGACCTCCAAACACATTTGGACACATTTGACAAATTCCACTCTGTCCAGGCCTTTTACACTGTGGGTGGCCCAGTCAATACGGAGGAAATTAAAATCTCCAACCAATGCTACTCTATTATTCCTGCAATCTTTCACCACATGTGCTCCTCTAGTACCCACTGGCTATTTCGGGGTCTAAAATACAGTCCCAACAGAGTGACCATCCCCTTCATGTTTCTTAAGTTCTAACCACATGGCCTCATTTGATGACCCTTTCAGAATATCATCTTTCAGCACTGTTGTTTATGCCCCCCCTTATCAAAAGGGCAATTCCCCCTCCTCGCTTATTTATACTTCTGTCACGCCTGTAGCTTCTGTATCCTGGAACATTGAGCTGCCGGTCCTGCCCTTCTCTCAGCCATGTTTCTGTTATAGATATAATAGCCCAGTCCCCAGAGCCAATCCATGCTCTGAGGTCATCTGCCTTACCATTCAGGACTTGTGTGTTGAAATAAATGCACTTTAAACCAGAAGTCTTTTCCCTCCCTTTAGTGCGCCCCTGGCTATCCTGAATAGTAAACTTGCTCTTGATTTTCCCCTGATTTCTCGATGGCCCCTGAGTCTCACCTCCCTGCCAAACTAGTTTAAACCCTCACAGGTAACACTAGCAAATCACCCCGCAAGGATATTGGACCCCCTTCAGTTCAAGTGCAACCCATCCCTCTTGTACAGATCACTTCTACCTCAAAAGAGATCCCAAAGATCCAAGAACTGAAAACCCTGCCCCCTACACCATGCATTCATCTGGCCTATCTTTCTATTTCTATCCTTATTGGAGCGTGGCACTGGAAGTAATCCAGACATCACTACCTTTGGGTTCCTGTTTTTTAACTTCTTACCTAACTCTCTGTATGCATTTCGCAGGGCCTCATCTCTTTGTCTACCTATGACATTTGTCCAACGTGCACAATGACCTCTGGCATTTCACCCTCTCCCTTCAGAATGTTCTGCAACCACTCAAGAGACATCCTTGACCCTGGCACCCGGGAGGCGACATACCATCCTGGTGTCTCTTCTGCAGCCACAGAATCTCTAGTCTGTCCCCCTCACAATTCAGTCTCTTCTGTCTGACTGCACCCTTTCCCTCTCAGCCTCAGAGCCGGTCACAGTGCCACTGACCTGACTGCTGCTGCTAGCTCCTGAAAAGTCATCCCCCCACAACAGTCTCCAAAGCGGTGTACCTGCTATTGAGGGGAAGGGCCACAGGGGAACCCAGCACCATCTGCCTTGCCCCCCTTACCTCTTCTGGTGGTCACCTAGGTAGCTGCAGCCTGCACCTTAGGAGTGACCACTTCACTATAGCTCCTATCAGTGATGTTCTCTGGACCTTGAATAATCCTGAGTGTATCCAGCTCCCGTTCCCTAAAGCAGTCTATCAGGAGCTACAGCCAGGTGCGCTTCTCACAGGTGTAGGCAGCACGGACACTGGAAGTCTCCCTGATCTCCCACATCCTGCAAGATGCCCTAACTACCATCCCCACTGCTTTCAGTCTAGACGGAAAGTAAGTAGAGTTAAAGAGCCCTTACCTGCTCTTACCTCTACCGCTGCTCACCCTCCTCATGCTGAAACCTCTCGTGCAAAGGCTTCAGCACTTCAATTCTAACACTTGCCCACTCTCTTAATGGCTGCTCCCCGGTACACCTTTACCTTGCCAGTCGTCCTCCTCACAGTCCTCTTTTTTGGGTCAGAGAAGGGAGGGCGACACCAGGTTCTCTCTGACCTGGTGTCCAGTCGTGATGACTGTGGCGATGTCTCCCAGAAGTCTGCTGTGATGACTCTCAACCGCCCTCTGATTCACTCTCAGTTGTCAGGTCAATTTAATAATTATTCATGAGTTACTCTAGGTCCTTCATCGTCCAACTTTCTGAGCAACTATTTACTTAACTGCAGCAGAACTCTTCAAATTTTCTGATTTAAATGGATACTTTCAGAGAGTTCCAGGTGCAGGGGATATGCTCAC